AGGGTGGAGGGAAAGAACAGATAATTTCACAATAACTTTGTTTTGAGATAATCGCATTTCAACAATTAAACACCAGATTACTTCTTCATGCTGATATAGAGATGTAGATATACAGGGTGTCCCAAAATTGCTGGGACACAGAGCTACCACGTGTGGAGGAGGTCAAAATAAATTGATTGGACATAATTTATATATGTGCGAAAGTCTACCATTTGTCCGTGAGAACGGTTCAAAGTTCACATAAAAAAACACATTTTTGTATGCCGTTAAGAAATAACTGAAACGAACTTGATGAAATTTGGCAATAGTGTATTTCAGATGATCACTTTCCTTTTGGTGATCGGAGAAACCTGAAAGGAATTGTAGAAGGGTAAAACCACCCTCACCCCCTGACATTTCTTTCTGAACTTTTTTAGGGGTCATTATACTTTTCCGAAATTTGTTAAGCTTGAAGACTAATCAAATACCTTCATTTCATTATTCTTGTGAAAATTTCGTCGCATAGTTTCGAAGAAAAAAAATGTTCTCTCAAACAATGCTACCAGATAGTCCTTAAGTGTTTAAGTGAATTGTTGACAGTGGAAACGAAGGCAAGTCGTGATTTTGATAGAAAACAAATTCATTGCCATTCAAGTTTGTTGTTTTAGATTTGAAATTAGTGTTTGGATCGGATTTATAGAAACATTTTTGGTTGAGCCGATCCAATTACCAGATCGCCTCAATGGTGCTGGTTATACCTTCACTTTCCTAGAGAATTTTGGCATATTCATTAGAGGACTTGCCCCTCAATGTTCGTCGAAACATGTTCTCCATGCACGATGGGGTCCACCATCCCATTTTGCACGTGCAGTAAGACAATATCTGAACGAACAATTTCCTGATAGATGGATTGGTAGAGGACAAGCATCACCTATTCAATGACCTCCGCGTCCTCCAGATTTGAATCCGTGCGACTTCTTCATCTAGGGAGTGCTAAAAACACAATGAGTGTATGAAGTTCAAATTGATATTGCCAAACAGCTGTGGAACAGAATCCAAAATGCCGTTGACGGCACTACGAGACAACGACGATGTCCTGAGGAGGGTGAATTTATTTTTTTTAAGTCGAATTGATATTTGTATCAATGAAGATGGGCGTCATATTGAACATGTATTACTAAGAAACGTTCTGCTTCTGTTTCCACTGCCAACTAAGTTTTATATCACAATTCAATTAAACTTGTACTAGGTATATATAGGAATATCTGGTAGCATTATTTGAGACAACATGTTTCTTTTTAGAAACTATGCGATATACGAAATTATCACAAGAGTAATAAAATGAGGGTAATTGATTGGTCTTCAAGCTCAAAAAAATCAGAACCGTTTTATGACCCCTCAAAAAGTTCTGGCAAAAATGTCAGGGGGTGAGGGTGGTTTAAACCCTTCTACAATTTCTTTTAGGTTTCTATGATTACCAAAAGGGGAGTAATCCTCTGAAATACACTATTACCAAATTTCACTAGGTTCCTTTCACTTATTTCTGAACAGAGTACAAAAATGTGTTTTTTCATGTGAACTTTGAACTCTTCTCACGGACAAACGGTACATTTTGGCACATAGATAAAATGGGGCCAATCAACTCATTTTGACCTTCTCTACATGTGGTAGCTGTGTGTCCCAGCAATTTTCGGACACCTTGTATAGGTAGGTACTAGATGGCAAAATTCAGTGCGGAGTTATAACGAGAATGCCAGTTGGTCAATTATTGTCAAGTATTAACTTCATTCCGCTCATTCAAATGTCAACCGATTCTCATCGATGAACAGAAGTTTTCGCAATGAAAAGGGCCTCAAAATGATGTATTTGAAGTTGGGTAGTTTCATTGGAAATCACAGATTGAGTGTTGGTTGACTATCAGAAATGTTCCCCTCCAGTATGAAAATTGACACGAGTCATGGCGAATTATTAGGGTAGAAGATTTGGTTCTCTAACTAGGGAGGGGTCAAGTTTTCATTGGAAGACCATGTATATAGTTGCATTGTGTATGTCATCAAGCTTTGATGCGTGAATTTCAATTAATATTTGAAAGATATACTGAAATCTGAAGAGAATACTGTTTGGGTTAGTTCTTCAAACAGGTCCAATCTAGTAAATTTTGCTGGTATAATAAGGTCCTTTCAAGTCGATTAAGGCACTTCTTATCTCTCAGCTTCAGATCCTTCTCAGGCGTCTCAATGAACCTTCAAGTTGTCATCGAAGAACAACAAAGCGAAATCGTCAGAACTGGTAAGGTCAGATGATGGTAGTCGATTCACTGACATAAAGTTGAAAAACTTACCAAACAACTCTGGATTTCTGTTAATAACTAACTTGATGCCATCCAAGTAGTGGGTTCATTGAATCACAAAATAGAACTGTGAAGTCTCATTTGAAAGAATGCACCGATCCATACAAAATGCTTCCAACTTCACGATCAGTAGCACCGAAAAATTTATTCAACCATGCTGAACTTCTCATGGCGAGAAAGCTGAGAGGGTTTCAACTAGGCACATCTGCCCAAGAACTTGATATCTTCAATTCCGAACCAACAAACCATTCAATACAACGGCCGATGAGGTTGCTGCCTTCAATCTTGAATCAACAGATTATTTGACAAAAAAGAAAGAAATTGTTCGGGGGGAGAAGAATAAACAACTTTGATGAACACTATCGTGCTCAACTGCTACCGCCGCTAGAAGCAGGCCATAAAGTGTTCTTGACTGATCGAAATCAGCAGAGAATATAGTAGTTGATAAACACTGTGGTAACCTATGAGGCACCAAGTCCAATGCCTGGCTCTTGATCCACAATCTGAATCCATGATTCATTCACAAAATGCAATCTTGTAATGACGTCAAGAATATCAATGATCTGAAGTGACCCATTTGATCGTTTCATACCTGTTCCCCAGGAGGAGTATGAAAAAACACCACCTCCTCACTGGGCCCTCTCAGCCTCAAGTTCCTCTCGCACTCCGGCGTCTTTATGAACTTGCAGCTGCAACCGGAAAACAAGGAAACGAAATTGTCGGAAGTCGTAAGGTAAGATGATTGGTAGTCAATTTACTGACACAAAGTTCGAAAACTAAGTGATAGACAGTTGATTTTCTAGGCAGCTATATTCACAAAGTGATGGGTCTATTTACAAGCTGAACTGTGGTGTCTCATTTGGAAAAATTCACTGAACCATAAAAAATGTTATCAATCTTGGGACCTACACTTAACTACTCATAGGAGGAAAGATAGGAGGGTTTGTAGCTCAACTGGCCATGAGCTTCCTGCCTTCAATTCCGAATGACGAAACCATTTGACACAAAAGAAATGAATTATTCGGAAGAAAGAAAACAACTTTGATAAACTCCTGGCTCTTGATCCACTATCTGGATGATTCATTCACAAAATGCAATGTAGTGATAACTTAAAATATTCCGATTGTCTATCCTACTAAACATGTAATGTTACAAAATATTGCTACAATATATTGTGAAGCTTTCTTCCGTAATGTGAAAATACAATATTGTATCTATTTTGCTGCTATATTCGTGTTGACAATATAACAGAAAAACTTACTGACAAATTGTTTGTAAGTTACGGAATGACCCTTTCAATTGAGTTTCGAAAGCAATATCGCATCAACTATATATTCTCATTCAAATTGCAACATTATATGGATCAACTACGAACAATATCATTGCAACGTTACATATGAAATCTTGAATTGTAATGTTAAATTAACATTGATACTTCATTGAGTTTGGTAATAACATAAGATAACTACAAACAATATTCCTACAACTTATGGGATGCAACACATATTTGATTGAAAATTGTAATATAGCTGAAATAATCAAAATGCTACATTGGGTATCGATCAAGAGATGCCATTTCATGAAATGCCTACGCGGAGTCGCAAACTTGCATTCAACAAAGTCGCCATATTTGTTGGTGTTTGGCTTCGGTAACAGGTATTTTGTTGTTGTACACGTTGAAATGGCAAATAATACCAATAAATAATACATTTTGGAACATAAATCAAGGTATAGTGGTGATCTGGCGATATGTGACATTAGGCAGTTGGGAAGGCTTTGAATTCATTGATGGTTAGGTAAGTCAACAGTTATTCTAGGTTAGCTATACATTTTACAAATTTATACATCGTTCATCGTTCATCTAAGCAGATCGTTCGATCGACAATAAATAACATAGAACGATTATAATTATTCGTATACCTACTCAAAGTTATAGGACAACCTCGTGAATTCCTTTGAGTGTGCAGTCAAAATGGATCAAAGTGTGAGTACCTACTCTTTAATTGTTTCTGTTCGAGGTTTCGGGTCTTTATCGGCTCTTTATCAGGAAATCTTATATCTCCCATTTTACTTGCTGTCGTAGAAAAAACTTTGAGCTCGCACTCACAATTCATTCTAAAACAACCTCAAATATCGTTCTTCAGAATATTCTCTAGATGCTGAATAATATTCATATTATCGTCAGTGTAAATTATAAGCAGATGAACTAACTCAACTGACTATTTTATTTTCTTATTTCCTTTGTTACAGGTTCTTATGCAGTGCCTATAAGCCGTAGTACCGTTATATCGAAAATATTCAGATATTTTCTCAATCAACTTTTAATTTATAAAATAGTCGACACGATTATTCGATTATCAGGAAATTGTTGCTATGTATAATTTATAATATTAAATATATAATTTTCCTATACTTTTTATTTAGTGTTGCCAGTAACCTTGATGAAATATAACAATAAGATCACATTCGGTCATTGAATATGAAATGCTACTGTACTTCATACACAATGTTACAATTACTTTGCTGGAATGATTCATTCGCGAACATTACATTCCTAATATTGCTGAACGTCCGTTTCAGTAGTTGCTGCGACCTTGCAGTAAGATTGCGATAATATCTGATGTAACATTACACATAACATTGAAATACTGATAGATATTACTTTCCATACCTGTTCTGGAGGAGGAGGATAGGAAAACACAACCTCCCCACTGGGTCCTCTCAGCCTCAAATCCCTCTCGCACCCCGGCGTCTTGATGAACTTCCAGCTGCCCTCGAAGAACAACGAATCGAAGTCGTCCGAAGCGTTCATTCCGATCACGTTGAACCTCAACTCCACGACGTTGGTTGTCGAGACGTACGTGAAGGGAATGAGTTTGTCTTTGTCGACGGCGCAAAGGCAGTCTCTGGGTACGCCCGGTACGTCTGCCCAGGGCAGCTCATAGAACCTGCAGAAGAACTTCAATTCACACCGATCTTATAACACCGCAAAAAATCAAAGTGTGATTCCTTGTGATATTTTACGAAATGAAGTACATATAAACATATGTACTAACTTCGTTTTCGAGATAACAGAGTATTAATATCTCCATGAAAAATCTTTTTTCTACTCATTTTTCAATTATCTTCTCATTAATTCAAATAAAATGTTGTGGTTTTGTAGATAAAGACATGGAGCTTCTTCTAGTGCAATTAGATTCGAAATAATATTTCCAGTGGCATCACAGTGGGTGAATTTATCTATATTCATAGTGAATGTCGTTGAACGCCAACGGTTTTTCTGAGTAATTTTTATTAGATCGAACCTCGGATTGAACTATTGAAATAACAACTTTTTGTGTTATCATATCTAGCTTAGTTTTTGAGGAAACAATAAAAATTCGATTTGAGTCCAAATTTGAATGTACAGGGCTAGTTTCATTAATGTGATCTTGATCTTTTTTGTTTCCCACCCATCAAAAATAAATTTGATGAAGATTTCATACAATTCTTAATATAGGTTCCAATTATAGTGACAGTGTTGCAATATCTCTTCAAATATACAGGGATTTCAGAAAATATATATTCTTTTTGAATGGAATGCGATGTAGGTATATTTTGATTTATGAATTGAAGAATCCAGATCTATCAAAATATATGGCGCATTTCATTTGAAGAAAATATTATATTGTTCTCTATATTCTGTTTATCATTGTCAATATGAGCAGTAGTCCGGGAACTACATGTATTCTGGTCTAGGTCTAGGTCGGTCATTGTCACCTACTCATATAAAAACCAAAGAATACTATGAGAAGTCAGGGACGAACCGAAATATAATTTCTCTGGAAGTAAATTTGGTCAACTTATTTTCGAATTTCCCAATATTCGTTTTGGACTTGATATATTCTCATCAGTAGGACATTTTGAAATTCCGAGGTTGAAGTGGGAATACTAGGATACAAGAAACTCAATTTTCTATGAGCTACGAGTCGGAAATTAAGAGTACGAAGTTGAAAATCCTGAGTTTGTATAGTGTGTCCAGTTTTCGATGCTTTTGCTATCTTTTGCGCGATATCTCAGTTCTCTTTGCAGATAGTGTTGCGATTTCCACATCACAGCCTATAACTTCCTTGTGGAATGAATGATGCAGCAAACAGAATTTCCACAGTCCTCATTGTTTTCGAGATACAGGGCGAAGTTGGAAATTATCACTTTTCGAGAACGGGGCCTCACATAACTTTCTACGTTCAATACTGTGGCGTAGTTATTTCATTTATGTAATCGCTCATTTTTTGATAATGGAGTCCAAATAATTTATTTTCGAAAACAAAATCCCAACTTTTATATGTGTTTGATCAGCTATAGAAAATCTGAGTTGAACTGAAAAGAAATATACCTACAATAAGGTGTCCTCTTTGAATGAATTCTTTTGGCAAAATTGATTACGGAAATAAAATTAGCACACCATACTGAATTATACGTAGGAATATATGGAACCCACTGTCCTCATATTGCCGATGAGTTGGAAAATATTCAAGATACGGGAGTACTTCGCCCTGTATCCCAAAAATATAAAGGACTGTGAGAATTCTGTTTGAGGTATTATTGGTTTCACAAAAAACTAAGGGAGTAATGTGAAACCCACTACCCTATCTCCAAAGGTAACTGAGATATCGCGCGAATGCATTGAAAACATGGGCACACTGTACAGGGTATTTTATTTTCAGATTAGGAACCTGTAACAGGGAATTTCATTTTCTGAATTGAAACTTGATATTTTCAACTCAAAATTTGGAATAAGATTATTTTCATTTCAAGCATTACAGCATTCTCTAGTCGAAACGTTAGAGTTTGCATGTGGAGGTCCCTAGTTTGAACTTGAGATGTGAATTTACTTTATGACCAAACTTGAAAATTACGATGTTAATGAAGTTGGAAATTCTTAGTTTGAAATAGGGATTCTCTTGTTTGAAGTCAGATAAATAACAATCACCATGAAACGTTTTTTTTTTAACTTTCTTTCCAAACTCAATTTGCCAACTCGACTAGGAGTGGGGGGAGTGGACCCCCCTCCCTATGGGCCCGTTTCTGAGGTGATCCTAACCGTAACGACTAGTTGAAACGACTAGTTACTTTGGATCATAGGCATCATACCTCTCATATTCATCAACACCATATATTGATCAATCAAGATCAATATATGGTGTCAAGGCGGTGAAAAAAAAAGTGTCACCCTATTTATCAACGTATATCGGTAGTATATTGTATTAACAAAATCCAGTTATACTTTGCTTCAAAAAAACATTACATACCTGAGAGTGGCAGAGGAGTTGCCGAGACAGTCTAGACGATTCGTGTCCTTGCTGATGACAGTTTGACAGGCGCGATGCTTGATTGTCATTTCAGTAAGGGTGATTTTGATGCGCTCGTCCTTGTTCACTTCGAAACGGTACACACAGCTGAAATAGTATAATACATAACTAGTGTGCAAAGTGACATATTATTTCAATACATATAGGTAACCTCTCATATGTCTATCATCTATGTTTGAATCAATATTTGGTAAATGAATCATTCCTATCTCTCCAAAGAATGAAAATAGGTGTGGAAATCATATTGTTAATTGAATTTGAAGTTCTCCTCGTTGTCGAGAGCTTGGTCGAAAAATACCACGCATCTCGTAATCACGCAACCAAAAATACAGCAAGTCACGACGGTGTATAGAACCGAGCCACACTGGTGTAGACCAAGCCACACCGGTCTAGACAGAAATGACAGTATTGACAGCAATGAGGTTATGTCTCGCAGATTATAACAAATACCGAAACCTAAACTATTATTAGTTCTAACGAAAATGAATGTATATACAATGAGAGTCGTAAGTATTGAAATATGGTAATCAAGTATTATAATCATCCATATATTACATAGACCAAACAGAGATCACGTGAGCGTGTGGGATTATTGATGCCACACTTTTTGTTTTCACTTTCACATTGCTATGGCGATATGAGATACTTTCTGAGCAACAACACAATGTGATATATCTTGCTTCCATAAGTGTTCGTGAGTTTTGTCGGTAAACATCTAAAAATCACGAATCATACGAACAATGCGATTTCTAATAAATTCTGAATGACGCACGACATATTACACTTATGAAAAACTTATATAATAAACTATTCTAACATTGACTTGCCCAACTGAGATGGAGTAAGGGATTTGAACAATTACTTGTGACACGCAGAAAGTATGCAAAATAATCTACATTAAAATTTGGTGTGACTAGTCAACATTTGCGGTGTTTCCAATTATAACACTTATTAAGGAAAAGAAGAAGTCAAATATGTTGGAATCTTTGTGTAAGTTGATTAGATTGAGCATATTTTCTCTATTTTTCACGAGTATGGTTTTTTTTGAAAGGTGCTCAAGAAACGTTCTTCTTTGTTGCACATTTGCTTTAATGTGCTATACATGCTTCGATTTTCAATACAACGTTTCATTTTTCGAAGATTACCAACAACTTCATTATTTTGTAATACTTTTGTCATTATTATGAGATACTTAACTCATTATAATGAGATAACTGAGTTATAATAATGAGATACTTCATCTCGTTATAATGAGATAACAGAAAATGTTTAGACAATATTTTTGCAACTGCTGAGTTGCCACAGTTGTCGTGTAGTTTTCCCATCATGTTTCATTGATAGTATAATTGGGCTTCAGATTTTTTCGAGAGAGTTGTAGTGAAGTTGTGTGATAAAATATATTACTATTTTCTGTCTTCTCTGTTGAACTGGGCTCGATATATGTCATAGAATTGTAGAGGATATGGATGTCAAGCAACTTATTGAGAGTTATTTCCAGATAGGATTTAACATTTCTGGAATGAATGCCTCTTTGGAACATCAGGACATAGTAATCAGTGAAATGCAGGTGAAACGATAACTGAAACAACTCAATTTATATAGAAGGAAAAATTACACAGAGTCGGCAACCATATCTGATAGATTTTGCAAAATGAACCTATATGAGTAGGTTTTATGCCTATATGTATTGTATCTATAGATTCTCATTGAGATGTCTAATTGTCTATTCTCACTAAATAGGAAAATCAGTAAATGTTGGCAACGTTGCATATTAATAACTCATTATAATGAATTGGGGTATCTCATAATAATGAGATAACTAAGTCATAATGATGAGATATTTTATCTCGTTATAATGAGATACTTAACTCGTAATAATGAGTTAGTTATCTCATGATAATTAGATATAACTAACTCATTATTACGAGATAAAAAAAAATCTACCATGTCCCGTCAGCGCTTCCGTATGTTTCCAATTAGGACATTTTCTCTTCATTTTTACCCAAGCATTCCATCATCATGGTTCGAATAATGAAAATTCCATTTCTGACTTCCTGGTATATATTGAATTGTTCAATTGTTTACTCAAATGGACAGCTTTTTCGAAATGCCAATATTGGTACGACATAAAAAATTTGGTCCATATGTGAATTCATTGTAGATTGATAGCTCCATTAGTTTTACATAATTGTTTATTAATTTGAACAATGAATGAAACTGATCTTACCTTAGACGTCTGAGGAATTCTAGTATCTTCTCGAGAAATATTGTCCGAAACCATCATCAATCATAATTATATGAATTATTGTTTCTCTTCGTAACATCTTCATATTTTTCAGACAAACTTTATTAGCGAGATACAATCACTCGAAATATTCTTCCATAGAAACAGTTTCATTATCATTACAAACGAGTTCTCAAGACAAAGCTCCTTGTCACCTTGTCATAGTCAATGAAATGAATTACTTTCGCATGGCCATTTTCTTTGACAGGAGATATTCATGTTAACCAATTTTTAATCTCTACATCAAAACAACAATCTCCTCGACGAAGTTTAATGCAATATTCAGAATTGAACATAATCAACCCAGTTTCATCGTTTTCCATGAATTAGTAACGAAAGCAGTTCTATATTTTTGGAATACAAAATTCGATATAATTCTCAGTGGAGCAAAATAACTTGTTAACGCCAACTTGTCAATAGCAAATAGTGGATCTCCAGTATCATACGTGGATATGATATTTGAAATATGACGTCATTTGTGAGTTTGATGTCGATGTGGGACGACATGGACCAATGCATGAGGACTCGAATATACTCATTATGACGTATTTCATTCATTAACGTGTGCTACTTGGAATATCGGCTATGCCACAAGAATTTGAGGTAATAGCCCATTTTGGGTATTTCCTTGCTGAATTCAGTTTAGATATGCAGCTTTTTTTCATCACGCTTTGGCGAAAGAATGATTGATCCTTGAGAAACATTTGATACCGTCAGAACGATGTTCAAAGAATATTTTATCAAAAATAAAAGGGTGATTCATTCAGTGCTTTAGCAATTGTAATGAAGTCAAACTTAAGAAACTGTCGGTAAGCAAAAATAAAGTTTTTTTTTATATACTGTTCAATTGCATTAAAATTTTGAAGATAACAATGATCATTGGGCTTCAGTTTCTGCAAAAATTAAATTTTGTAACGATTCAAATACAAATAAAATCCGAGAACACCCTTATACCTCCAGTTGCTGCGAACGACACAGATTTGAATCATCCATCATACGGCAAAATATGGTCCAAGTGAAACGTTTTCTTGACCCGTTTCGTCTTGTGATTAGACAAATAATACCTATTACAGAAACAATTACCTTTCGCCTCTAGAAAAATGATAATTCTGAACGCATGAACTTGTAGCTAAATATCATCCACCTACAGCTAATAATTTTCATCCTAGATGATTCACTTTGTATAGTCCTAGGTCGACATATTATAAGCGCTGGTGAAGTGTATTTTAATACTCATTTAATTCGAGTTTCTGGAAAGGAAATAATTACAACAGAAACCCGAGTTACAAGTACAATGCAATTGTTTATCTGCCGCAAATCCTGATATTCCTACGTTAATATAACATGTTGACCTATTATATCAATCGGCAGTAATCGGGAACAATCGCCGGGATGTCTTTCATATTTCCGAATAAATCCGAATCCAACCAGCGTCAGTTCGTTATGACTTCTCGAGAGTGCTGAGTGTGAGAATGCATTGGTGACCGTGTTGAATCGAAAATAAAATTTCTAGAGGGGGGTGGCCGAGATTTGAACAATCAATAGTGATGTTTAACTTTTTGATTCGACTTGTTTTTTTCTTAGAAAATTGTTGTCGCTGTGTAGAACGAAAGTTATATATTCAGGGTGGTAAGATATAAAATGAAACTCCTTTATGTATTCTGCTTATAATATGTAGGATAAATTGACATTATAAAGTAGGATTTTTGTTCAATTCCCAGGTAGCCAGACTGACGAATGTGACGTCTATAGGACCGCTATCTAAGGTCTTTTTTGGTCTCATACGTCTTTTGGCCAAATTATGACGTCATGCGGACGTCATTAATGTGACGTCTTATGGACAGCCACTGTTTGACGTCGTATAGACGTCAATCTATGGTCTTCATATTTTTTTGGGTATTATTATCATTATCATTATCATTATCATTATTATTATTACTATTATTATTATTATTATTATTATTATTAGTAGTATCATGTATGTATAGGAAAACGAAGTTATAAAATAAATTAATTGATTTATCTAAATAACTGTATAAATGTATGATAAAAATGTATTTTATTTCATAGGCTTCCCTTGATTTTCAATGTTCAAATTTAGCGCCAAAGACAATTCTCACTTACCGACCAGATGGCCAATGGCGATCAAGTAATTTCGCGAAGAGATTGTGTATGCGACTCGCGACCATCTCGCGACTGCCGTTAGTGGCGTTAGTGCCGTTCAGCGGTCCGTTCTGTGGTTCAGCGTCAAGCCATGTTCATTGTCCATCGTCCATGTTCGAATGGGTGTTGTTTGTGAACGGCGTCTGTGCCATTGGATTTGTTAAGAATGTTAAAATATTGAGTGATTGAGTGGTATTTCTATACAGTCTGTTTTTCACGTGAAAGTATTCAGGATGTATTGTGTAATACAATTTGATGACAGTGGAAGCAACAGTGTAGCTGTTGTTCACGAAACTTGGCTGACGCCGTTGAAAAAGGAAGTGTTTTGGCCGCCATTTAAAGACAGCAAAACATACAAAAGAGCTCTCTGTGAAGGGGAGCCATCGACGCTGAAATTTTCAACTATATGTAATACCTTCTTGTTAATAAAATCTTCATTCGTAGCAAATTTATTTCATAGCACAAATGATTATCTTCCTCACCAGATTATAACCATTAACCTCAAAATGTTATAAAAAAAAACAGACGTCTTATTGACGTCGGAAATTGGTCAGTAGTGTCAGTTCAAGGTCCAATTTGAAAACACATACTGACGTCTAATAGACTTTGAAATATGACGTCATTTGGATGTGTCTTACTTACGTCATTTGGACGTCGCATTTGTTGAAATAAAGACGTCTTTTGGCCGAATGTGATGCCGTCAATTAGACGTCATATAGTCGTCATGTGCTACCTGGGTTAAAACTGGTGAAAATTTATATAATTTTCATTTCTTTTCTTGAGAATGATTTTCATACATACAGTGTTGTGAAACCTCTATTCAATTTCTTTAAACACTGAATAGACAATATTCACAGTATCAACAAGGTGTCCCCTCTCAAGGACGATTGAATTCGGCATGGAAATGGCCTCGAGCTTCACCTTTGACTTCACTTACCTGATGTTCTTTGCGCCCCCTCTTCCATACAGAAACACGTCCCTCGGAGATCGGAACGTGTGTTGAGCATCGTTGTCACCTTGTGCGACGTTGCCGAATCTCCTGGAGCACGGCCCGTCACCGTAGGGCTCCCCGTCCACGTGTAGGTCCACGAACTCGTAGAGTGCCTTGAAAGTCACTGGCCTGGAACGATACAGGTGGATTTCTTTTGTTGAACAAGTGGAGAAGGTGTTGAATCTACAGAATTATTGAGAACACTTCATTCTCTGTGAGTTTCGGGATTTTCAGTGACTATCTGATAAACAGTCGACAATAAAATTGAAATGTCTCAGACTGACAAGTCTTTTTAGAGTACATGTTGAGACAATTTGGAGACTTTGATGGAAACCAATACCCAGACAGCACCAGATATTCCATGAATCTCCCTATCATATTCCTTTTGGAATATTGGAATATTCTAGAAATAATCTGGAATATTCCGGAATATCTGTGGAATATTCTCTATATATGCGAATGGGAATTCCTCAGATATTCATAGAATATATCCAAAAGAATATTCCATGTTGAATATTCCTGGAATATTCCAATAAACATATTCTAAAATAAAAAAAGTGACCCTAGTAGGGATCGAACTCGTGACCTCAAGATTATCAGACCAACGCCTTGACCACTAGGCCAGTAATCGAATTGAATAATGTTGTACATATCAATTTCTTGTGAGAGCGTTGTTCGAAATCGGATCATAAATACTTTTTGTTTCAAAATCCCCTTACATCTAATTTTGATGTTCGATACTCACAACTCTGAAATAATGATGGGTATTTATGTGTTGAGAAACATAGGAATATTCATGGAATATTTCATGAATATACACCACAGAATATTCAGTTGAGAATATTTCATGAATATACCGCACAGAATATTCAGTTGAGAATATTTCATGTATATACCCCACAGAACATTCAGTTGGGAATATTTCATGAATATACAAGAGAGAATATTCATTTGGGAATATTCCTGGAAAATTCATACCTGAATATTCCCTGAACATCACTTTGGAATATTCCTTCTAGATGTTCCAGAGGCATGTATATATTCTAGGAATAATCGATGAATATTCGGAATATACTCCTCCTTTTTAGCATATTTAGAGAATATTCTAGGAATATCCAGTGCTGTCTGGGTAATGTGTACGTTAATGCTGCTGTCTCCAAATTACCAACATTTCTCGAATTTTCCACAGTCATAGTGGTTCTGTATGGTACATTCCATAGACAGTCGGGTATAGGGAATATCTTGTATGATTCTATTAAATCCTTTATGATCTTTCGATATTCATTCACGTTCTGAGCAGTTATTATTTGATCATGTTCAAACATCCAATAAGAATGTATACAGACTTCAGACAATGATTGTGTGAATCAAATGTGCTTACTTGGGAGTTTCCTGCTCAATTTGATTATAATCTCTGAAACGTCTGAAAAACGATTATATTCTAGGTCTTAGAACGATGACATTTCACCAATAATTGCCAGAAAGTGTACACCATAATTAAGACCAAAGCTTTGCAATAGGTTACCATTCTACCTGCTGGAAGATAGCTAGAGGCCTCATAATAATAAAAAAAAACAAAAATCTTTCCCATGCATATATCGCTCTGTTATCAGCCAATCACAAGTGATGGAGAAATCCAATAAAAAAACATTGAGATTATTACTCCTCTCAACTGGAGATCAATAAGTAACCTAACTTAAATTGATTACGTTACTCATTCATGTCAAGCTCCATTATAGAAACATGGGGAATCTCTAGCTGTGGCGTTTGATATATCGAAAGCATTCGACTGTATGCCCCACAAACTAGCATCATACGACTTTCCACCTCAGCGAATATGCCTTCTTTTGTCGAGGTTTCTTTTAGGTAGAAGGTATATCGGTCAATGTAGTGGTGGACAGAGCATCGTCATATACCATTGCCATCAAATTCAATAGCTTTTTTTCCTACTCCATATCAATGATCCGTTGGGAATATCCACTTGTCGTGTCCAAAGCTTCGTGGATCACAGTACTCTACATACTGAATTGTCGTCCAGAAGATCTTGCTGAAATAAAAGCCTGGAGAACCAACAACCTAGTTGAATTCAACGCCATCAAAACTCCAACCTGTATTTTCTCTAGAAAAGAGGAACACTCTGTATGCCTGATATAACAGTAGGTATCTGGTACTACCATTTACACCCATATCTAATCCGATCCATCGTGAGAGCTGATTTACAAAAACTCGGATTTTTATTATACTTCACATGCACCTCACTATAGCTTCTCATCATATATAAATCTTTGATACGGCTCATTTTAGATCACTGTTTTCAGCACCTCAACATATGATACGCTGATGATTTCAAATTATAAATAATAAAGGGATATGTTCGGAGTTGATAAATTAGAAATTTCGTCAAACTAACATGGTGAGCCGAGAACACTGGACGACGTAGGATGTCCCTTTTTTGATTTCTCATCCATACGGTACGTCACAGCAAAAAAGTTTATCCATTCAAAATTGAAGTTCATAAAATTGTCTACAGAATTGGATCAGTATAGGTTTTCCTCTATCTTTCATTGTTTTTGAGACATTTGCTAGCAAATCATGTGAATTTTTGAGAATTCCTTTTTTTAGCCAGTGTTTGACGGCTCAACCTCCATTTTGCCACTAGAGTCTTCGACGTAGAAGTTGCATAGGATTGAATCGCCTACAAAATGTTGTGTCACATAATAATATATGTTATATACATAGGGCCGGTTGCATTAAGAAAAATCAATCATACAATCAACTGATGCCACAATAACTTTGATGTTATGTTATACGTCATTTGCGTTGCATAAACAATCTGATGTTAAAATAATCATTCCATTTACTAATGACGAGAAGAGCGTGGCAACAGCGCTAAATCTGTCTGCTCCTTGCGTTCCGCGCATTGTTGATACGCATTTTAGGTTATATAGGTTTATTTGCTTGATTAACATTAACATTCAGATTGACAGAAGTTACAGAAAACCTGAATAAGGTATTGAAATCATTGCCATCATACATTTTGAACGGATTGTTTCTATTTCGAAAGGTTCTTGACTTGAAAATCAGTAGTTCTTCTTCAGATAGTGGAGACAATGAAGAGATAGACATTTTCTGTAAAACCTATAATAATCATTCACTTACATTATTGTGTTCATTTACCTACTCTACCATTTTGAAATGAAACAAGAACTACGAAGAAGAAAAATTCTGCGAAATATTCTAAATAATTTGGCGGAACTCTCACAAGTCATTTTCTAGTCGTCACATTAACCAGTGGTCGAGCACTGATTAAGTTGATGCCACGAATAAGTCGATTTGATGTGACATCTAAAGTTGATTGGCCTTTGTGCAACCGATTTTAGTTTAAATAGTCATTATTATAAGTTAATCAGATGATTTAGTAACCATGTCATTAGGTACATGATGGGCCTTTCATGCAATCGAATTCCATTTATAACGTAGCATCAAATATTTGAAGTAACATCAAATAATTGATGAGCTTTTATGCAACCGGCCCTATAGTGTCTCACTTCTAAGCACCCTAGTATCTTCCGTAACTGCTCTGTAAGGTTTTGAAAATTTGCCGGAGTTGGAGATATACGGAGAATACACATTATGATCAAGTGGAGTCATCTTCAGTCATATACACTGCTCGCCAACAGCCATGAAACCACCCACTTTTCCGAAAAATTATATTAGGAAGAAAGATAATATGTCAAACATCACTTCGGATTCGTGATGAGGACGTCCAATTCACCAATTCTCCATATTTCTCATTGACCTAAGTACTTACTATTCGCATTATCCCTATATCCTTCTGCTCAAGTCTCAGTAACGCTATAACTTGATTGGATGAACTTGGACCAAGGACCATATACTATACATTATCACATTCATGATTTTTACGTTCGTCACGATAACACTAATGATTTCAACGTGATTTTGGAAATGTTGAACGTTATTTGATCGTGGAAACTTCAACTCTTTCGATGAAAAAATGTTGTTCACAAGTTGTATCCAAGATTCAATCACTTTGAAGACGTTAGTCAAAACCTGAATCTGAGTCTTATCAAAGGAGAGGAAGTCGAGGTTTGATTTATCCGATGAATCAGTGATTGAATAAAATCCTGCACCTGTTTGATCTCTGATCTGCATGATATAATAGTTCTTCCGAATTCAACTATCATCCATTTCTGTCGAAAAGTCGGGCATCGATAAATGGAAAGCATTTTCCATTTGGATACGAAGAGATCCCAAAGGAACGTGTCTAATGGAATCAAGTATTCAACGGCATACATTTTATATCCAAAAATGTTCCTTTCGATTTCAGCTCGCAGTAGCGTAACAGCTGGGCATTTGCACGGAAAGTAACTAAAGAATGTATAGATATCCAATGAACGACACGACATTACAGAATGAGATATTATCCATATCTTTGAGGGTTACTTAGCTGATGTGTGCACTTATATACATACAAATAAAGGAGAGTGTTGTGTTTCGTGCAAGATAATTTATTCAAATTCATTACTCGTAGCAGAGCGCTTTCGACTGTTGAGTCATCATCAGTGCATACCTGTGAGTAAGTAATCTGCTTTTAGCTATCGGAAATCTTTGGTGAAAATTGTAAACATTGAAAATAAAATTTTCTGAAAAAATTTGTGAAAATTGTTTTATAATTTTTTTTTTAATTAAGTTGAATTCAAATTCGAGACTTGCTACTTGTTAATCAACTCTTGGTTTTGGAAAAAGACATTATCATGGAGTCGAAAATTGAAAATATTTGAATACGAATTTGGAAATCAATAAAAGTGAGGTTACTTACTCGTCAGGTTGATAAGGAGATTTGTCCATAAAAATATCTCTAGTCTAGTAAAAAGATATCAACATAATAGTTGAATACGGAACAAACAGATTAAAATTTGTTTTTCAAAAAGGGGTGAAATACAGATTACATTTCATTAGGCAACAATTGCGGCCGCGACATGTCGTGTTGAAGTGAACTTGATGAGTGACATAACTTGGTTTCATTATCATGGAACGTACTGGAATAATGAAAGCAAATATGAGTTGACATGCATGACATGGCATCCAAGACATGACATGTGTCAAAG